GTGTTACACTGAATTGCATCGGCAAAAAGATTACATTTTAAAATCGCAGTTCTCTGAAAAGTTAGGCCCCCCAGATCCTCTGGGTACCATCATGAAAAAAAGCCTTAAAAAAACAAAAAAAAAAAAAAACAATTTGACCGTTTAAGCCTTAAAAAAAAGAAACTAACGAATCGCAGATTCCAGTGATTTTATGCACTGCACAAGCTGTATTTCCAAAAATTAGCTACAATGGCACAAAAAGCAAAAAGGTCAAAGGACTCGTTGATTTTGATGCTGCGAAGACTCGCCCGTTCCTGATGCTAGTATCTAGCCTTTTTAGACTTTTTAAACTTTTTTTAAATGGCTTTTTTTAAAACTTTTTTAAGATTGCCCAGTGCTTTTGCTGGGTAGATTTTTTTACATGAAATACCATTGAAGGCTTTTTTGTGTTTAGCCGAACTTTTGCACGGCAGCCGCTTCGTCGAAAATCTTACCGATGAGACACGTGGAGCAGGAGCTGTTTAGAAAACATGCAAAACGTCTGGAAGTGGACCAGCAGTGGAACATCTATGATCTCATCGACAGGTACCATTGTGCTTCTGTAGCTGTAGCTTATAGCGCTGCTCAACGCATGTGTAGCAGTTTATGATAATTTTCACGCGTCACAACTGAATTAATAATGTACGTATTAAAACTGCTTAACTGGTTAATGTGATGAAAAAAAAAAGAAAAATTCAAACTCAGTGAGTGGAAGTACGATGGGGTTACGGTTTCCCTTGATCAGAAAGACGTTATTTTCAAAGATAAGAATTACTGGAATTACTTTTGACGTTCAGATGAGAGTGAGTGTTTTCTGGTGCACGTTCATTTGAACTTTTTTTTTGCGCTCCCTGCCTAGCTGCAGCTTTAATTCTTCATTTCTTTATCTACATTTTAGTTTGGAATGGAACACACTGGTCACGGAGGTGCATCTCGAGAAAGCGCTGCGTATGCTCGGTGATCCTCGATTCGATGCAGCAGCGTTGTCTGATTACGAGGTTGCTGCTCTGTTAGCTGCTACGGGTCGCCGCTGCCAAATGCTTTCCGGAAAGCAAAGAAACACTTTCACCGCTAGGATGCTTCAAATTTTTAATGCCAGAGGTAAGAAAACTCTTCAATAGCCACAGAAAGTTTGAAATTTCCTGATTTAAAACATTATTTTTTTTTTTGGGCACTGGGGAACTTCTGCTAGACAAGAGACCTAATTTATCATAAAACAAAGAAAAATAGCATAATTTATCGGAGGACTCGGCAATCGACCTTTTTTACTGAACGATCGGGAAGTGATATTACAGGTGTTCGATTGGGATTAGCCGCCCGGAATGCTCTACTTGGTGCTCAAATAGACAATAACGTTGATGTGGATATTATTGGAGTGCTAAAACAATACGAAATGCATGGGCTCATTCCTGATGAGCAAACATACGGCCAACTTTCACGCATATAT